AGTTCACAGCGGACAAGGACAGCAGAAGAAGATGTTCAACTTTGAGGAATTTATTTAATAATTATTTGCATTTTACTTAACTATGATTTGTTTGTATATTACTTGATTTGTTTTACATTTTGCTTTGTAAGGGGTGCTCATCGGACATTTTTCCCTCGGGAGCATGTACGGTTTCCGTACAGGCATTTATTTTGCTAACGTCGCGCGACCTACTTTCGCGAGTCGATTTAATTAATATTGTAATTTTTGTATTTAGTTGATTATAACGATACTCACGATTAGCACCTCACATAACTAGTGTAACATACACAATAAACTATTAAACGGGAAATCTGTGGTATTTGTCAACTCAAACAAATTAACGACGCCTGGGTCCATACAGTACTCTACATTGAATATACTGCTCGCATACCAATGATTATGTTCTTTCTTTTAGTATTTACCTACCGGTTGGTATATTCGAATCCAGCAGGAGGAAACGCCCGAGTGGCGTCATTGTGAGGACCACCCAGAGGACACGGTGCGCCCTGCTTGGGCTGAGCACAGCCGTGTCTTCAGGGAAGTGATCGGCGGCGGCGACCTCGCGCGCCCCTCCTTAGTCAAGGCCATGGTGCGGAGCGAGTGGAACTGGGAAGCCGTCTCCTCCTTCTATGAAGCATTTATACTCGCAGGGGAGAATGCGGACCGCGTGAAGGAGCAATCCTCTTCCTCATGCCCCAGCCGCCGCAGTAGACGACACTCCGGGCCTCAGGGATCGAAAGACGATCTCCGGCTACCGTAAGCGCGGGTCTGCGGACAGCGAATAAGGGTAGCTGCCTGTAGTGACTCATGGACGGCGATGCCTCGAAAAATATACTTGATTTAAATAAATATTTAAATACAAGTCGTGGTCGGTTGGTTATGGAAATAATTTAGTGAACAAATTTTATTTATTTATTTATCACAAAATACAACTATTATTACAGGGCAACCTAATGCAATAGTGTATTGACAAGTTTATAGGTACCTACTTAATCTAAACTACTCTACATCTTATCGGTTAGAAAAATTATAATACTTAATAAAATAAAAAATAACATAAAAGTAAATTCAAGTTGAACAAGTACAGTACACGGCTCTTGTGAATTCATTCAGAGTACAGTTGAATATATCAATTTGTTCCGATTCCGACATGGCATTGAGCGTTCGCAGCGCCCGCGTCAGGAGCGCCCGCTGCAAGAGATTGGTGCGCGCGCGCGGTACCGCCAGCAGCGCCGACCGCCGCCGCCGCGCCGCGTACGCGTCCGGGACACACAACCGAATAAGCAGTAAAATCCCCGGATTGTGTATTTTGCCACGAAGTACTTAAATAAGTAAGTGGCGACAGCTACATCCCTCCTCACCTCAATTTTTTAATACCCCACCATGCCTTATACAAAAAGAGTCGGGTACAACAGTGGATAACCTGGATAAACACCATACATTTTTGAATACAAAAATCTAGTAAATTTGTTTTGTATGCGCTCGAGCATCAGTTTATATTTAACTTCATGTGGCGACCAGACAACGGCCATTACACTCTAGATGGCTCTTTACAATTGCTTCATACAGTGCTCTTAGTGCGTTTAAGTTATTGAATTGGTTACCTAACCGTAATATCATCCCTAAATTTCGGTAAGCTTTTTTACAGACATTTATGATATGAGTCCTAAAATTCACATCCGCAGTGAAGCGCACACCTAAATCCTTGACGTCAGAGACCCGCTGCAGCGGCCTTCCGTCCATGCAATATTGGTGATGACTCGGGTTTCGTGCTCGGCTGAATGATAACACAGAGCATTTGGCCGCATTGAAATATAATCTATTCTCTAAACTCAATTCTTCAATTCTGGTTATATCTTGCTGTAATATATGATGACCCTCTTTCTGCTCTATTTTTAAAATTAATATTAGGTCATCGGCATCGGCGGTATAAACTACATTCGGCAAGTCATTGACGGTCAATATGAAGAGCAGGGGTCCTAGTTTACTGCCTTGACTTACCCCTGACCTCGTAAAGTAGGACTCGGAAAGGCTTCCACTGCAATCAACGTACTGACCGCGGTCTCTTAAGTAACTTGCAAAGAATGTCAAAGTGTGCGTAGTGCAGCCTGCGGCGGCCAACTTCGAAAGCAGGATATCATTATCTACAGTGTCGAAGGCTTTCCGAAAATCAAAGTAGGCCACGTCCACCTGTAGTCCAGCATCTACCGCTGTATACTAACATATAAATGTGTTAAGACTGTGGATAAAAACGATTTAAAGCCATTTTAAAGAACAAAGTATTGTTATAGTAAGTATAGGTACTATGCTCTCGCACCTATATTTTAGCTCGTCAGAACGACTTTATCACCAACCACAACAAGAAGACAATTGCTGAAGATCATTCATACCCTGATGGTAAGCAATGGATGCCGCCCATGAACACTCGAACGAGGACAATCCGGAGGGCAATTCCGTTGTTGACGACATCACATCAACAGTTTCATCCCATTTTAAAGCTTGAGCGTTTTGTAAATGATAGCCGATGTAGTTTTCAACCAGGAGAAGCCGCAGACTGCTTGTGGGACAGGATGGAGTGTGAAAAAATATTTGAACAGATATTTACTGGCTTGGTTCTTGTTTTTTATATTTAGGTGTTCTTTTTGTGCTGCAAGTACATAATGATGTTGAAATAAAAACAAGCGGTACGAAAATAAACTAATTTATTACTATGTCTATGTATTGCATCCATATCATATCAGTATTGTAATTTATCAGATAATATAACGCACACGTTTGACGCATTTTGAATGCACTGAGACAATGATTGTACAACAAATAAAGTGAATGTTCGCTACGGGAATGTATATCCCTGGTACGAGCCACTCGGTGCCGCGCCGCGCGCCGCCCTGCCGAGCTGAGGCCGCTAATAGCAGTTATGCGACATTTATACGGACTCTAAGGGTGACAGACATGACTCAAAGTTCTGAAAGATTGTGTTGTATATTTGCGTGTATGAGGTAGATATGTTTTGGTACGTATGAAAGTGATCCGAGTGCAAACTGCGCGGCAATGCGTAGTCGTCACTACAATTATACTTGAATAGCTTTCTCTTCATTTCAGGTTAAGCTATAGTGTTAATAGGTAGGTCGCCAATTGTTTTGCTGGCGCGGCGCGGCGAGAGGGCCGTGCGCTGGACGCCTCGTGGGCGTAAACATAAACACTAACATTTACAAAATATCACACTGTGACCGTTGCTCGTTGTCTTCGACTGGCAACTAGTCTCCGTCTCTACTGTTTACACCGAGACAATGACGTCTCCGCAGATGGTAAATAACACATTGAATTGAGCAATCTAAAAGCAGATTATCTTACATTAAGCGTTTAAGTACAATTTTGAGATTCAAAAGTCATACGTAAGTATAGCGAGCTACGTATTGTATAGTTGTCATGTAAAACACGCAAGCTGGACGTCACGACGATACTAATATACAGACCCGCGACAGGAGTCGCTCTTTTTCCTAATTACCAAAGTAAAAAAATAACAAAATATTAATTTATCTTAATCTATTAGAACAATTAACGATTGGTCCATATTATTCATGTACATTTATATAAAAATATTTTAGTAAAAAACTTAATACTACTTGTATACAAGCGATTTCATCGAGATAAAAATTTAAGTACATAAGTTTCAGACGAAGCCTTCGCGCTGTCGACCGCGGCGGGCGCTATGCGGGGGCGCGGGGCGCGGGGCGGGCAGGCGGGGGCGCGGGGGCGCGGGCGCGCCTACATGCCGGACTCCGCGATGCCTTCGTCGTCTGCAACAGAAACACGCGTCGCGTCACCTCGCGCCACTCACCCCGTTCGCACACACACACACACACACGTACACACACACAGAACACACGCACACGAGCTCACGTGAGTGTCGCCGCCGGCGCCGCTAGGCTCCACCTACCAGTCACACACACACGTTAAACTATTCACATTAGCGTTGCACATTAAATTTATTACAATTACTCCCTTCGATTTTTCTAGCAAATATTTTAGAAATAATTAAAGTCGTTGAGCCGTTTGACGTCATTTTGGGATTTCATACAAAATTTTTCGTTTCATTAAAAGTATGAAGTTAGCTGCAACTAGCGTATGTTAAAAAAATATGCGAACACAGCAAGGCTTGTCTATTTTAGCTATTTTCACAGCATTATGTCGTATGGAATTTTACTGTGGGGTCGAGCTGCGGAAGTAGAATCAATATTAATTCTACAAAAGCGGGGTATCCGAACGATATATTACTTGCCATCCGTCGCAAAAATCTGAGAGAACTCTTAAAGATTGTGAGTACGCATATGTGAGTGCCATGTTCGAGACGATAAAGGATTAAAATTTAATGATAGATCCCATCATGTTTTTCTTTTTTTTTACAACTTCTGCATTGTTCTCACATAAGGGTACAATAATGTATACTAAATGTTATATTAGTGAAATTGTAAAACGAATATATTTTTAAACAAGAGAACGAATGGAGTCTCTTGCTCGTTCTTCCCCATTCGAATCTACAATTTGAAACGAGCACCTAGCTTCACTGACGAACCGACTGACAGACTACTATTCTATTTTGACGTGTAAAAGTACCAATTTCTGTTTTAGTTGGAATAAATGATTTTGAATTTTGACTTTATATGTAAGCCTATATCAAGATGACAAATACTAAATCAAACACGGCGTGTTAATAAAAGCGATGCGAAAAAATTTGAACTATAAATATAAAAGAGTTCATACGATTAACAGTTGCCATTGAATCAACGACTTAAGAGCCTACACGCCTTTTAAGCCGTAAAAGCTACATTCTAAATCCTAATCCTCATTAAGTAAGTAAACCAGTCAATATTTTACAAAGAACATGTTATATTATTGGGATTTCCATATATAAAAAGCGGGCGAACGCAGCGCCAGTCGTGCGTTAGCATGCTCGAGGTTATTGAGGGTACTGTACGCCTTAACGCGAACGAAATAACGATGAGCTCTTGGAGTATATTAAATACACAACACTGCTATATAATAGTAGCACCCGACGCTAAAACGAGGTCTGTATGTGTGTAGAGTAGTTAGCAATGGTGGATGAAATAGCAGGCGGCGTGGGTGCGGCGCAGGGACGTTACCTTCGAAGGCCGCGTTGAGGTGGTGGTTGTGGTCGCGGGGCGGCGCGGCCAGGTCCTGGCCCTCCAGCACGGCCACGAGGCACTGGTGGATGCAGATGTACTGCTGCTCCGTCTGCACCATCCAGACGCGCTCGCGGCGCATGGCGTGCACCATGCCGAAGACGTCGATGCAGTCGGCGTGCGCCGCGAGCTGCTGCAGCGCCGTGTCGAGCGTGATGAAGGTCCCCGAGCGGCCCACGCCGGCGCTGCAGTGCACGACGACGGGGCGCGCGTCGGCCGGGCAGCGCTCGCGGAAGGCGCGCACGAAGCGCGCCAGCGTGGTGGGGGGGTCGGGCACGCCGAAGTCGGGCCACGTCGTGAAGTGGAAGTGCTTCAGCACGCGCTGCTCGGCGCCGCGGCACAGCATCAGCTCCGTCACGGTCCAGTCGGGGTAGCGCGACTCGTTCAGCGCCGTCACCGCAATGTCCCCGTAGTACACGGGCCGCGTGTCGTACGGCCAGTAGCGGTCGCACTTCTCGCGCCCCTTCTCCACGCAGCGCGTCAGCATCACGATGGCGCGCGACCCCGACTCCCAGCACATGCGCCAGAAGTCGTCGCGCGTGCAGTGCAGCGGGCCCTGCGCACAATCGCGTCACTCTCTCGCTACACGCTGCGGATAGTGGGCAGGGGGGAGGGGGGACGATCACCCACCTGTGTGACGATGAACTCGCGTGGCGAGTTATGACCGGGCACGTAGTTGGCGTTGATGTAGTCGGAGCCCTCCTCGTCGTCCACGGGCTGCAGCTTGTACCGCGAGTGGTCGTAGGGCAAGATGTTGGTGAACCGGTTCTTGGGGCGGTTCACGGGCAGGTCGGCCGCCGTGCACGGCTGCTCGCGCCCCACGTGCTTCAGCTCCTCGAACTCCTCGCTGAACCTGACACACGGAGCACGCGCGCAGGGCGGCGTTAGATTAGTATAAGAAGAGGCGAGGTCCGGAACGCGCGGAAGTCGCGCGCCACGTACCTGAAGTCGGAGTCGGCGGACATGAGGCGGTAGTGGTCGATGAAGTCGGCGACGCGCACGGGGCGCGAGGTGCGCAGCGCGGCGGCGGCGGGCGCGGCGACGGCGGCGCGCGCGCGGCGCCTGCGCAGCGCCAGCAGCAGGCCGGCGCCGCCCGCCAGCGCCGCGCCCGCCACGCAGCCGCCCACGATCCACGCCGTGTTGTCCACCTCTGTACCACACCACACTCCGTTACACCACCCAACTAATGCCACTTCCGAATCGAAAACTAGAGTATTCGACCGCTGACATAGGGCGCCGTTATTGCCGACTACCTCTTACCGGGCACGATACGACGATTGAGAACATTCCAGACCTTTGTACCGTTCGAGCCTGAGTACCTATCTAAGGGAACTGAACAGCTGCCTGCACGACGCACAAAAATGTTGAGATACCATGAAAAACCAAAGAAGGAGAGCTCGTGTTTATGATTTTTCAATGTGAAATTGCATAACATGTGACGTTACACTTTATGGATGGCCCTTACTATTAATTTTGAGTGTTAATTTAATAGACTTTTTGAATTATTTATATCATCGTGATGTGCGTGCAACATATCGCAGTGTTGTTAGCGAGAGTGTAGCGGCACGTACCCGTGTAGACGACGGCGTAGCCGGTGTCGGTGAACTTGTCGGGCGCGGTGAAGGCGCGCAGCTTGACGTAGTACTTGGTGCCGGGCTTCAGCGGGCCGTTGCAGTAGGCGCGGCCGCCCGCGTCGCAGCGCTCCGAGCCGATGGTGAACTCCTCGACGGCCGACGAGTGGAAGGGGTAGTAGGGCTCCGTGACCTGGTAGGGGGGCCACGAGGGCAGCGCGTGCACGTCGCGCCACGACGGCAGGCGCGCCGGCGTGTCGTTGCGCGGCTCCTCGGCCAGCACCAGCGTGTACGCCGTCACGTTGCCGTTGGCGGGCGAGAAGTAGTCGGCGCGGAAGCGCACGGCCACCGTGGAGGACGAGCGGCGCAGCTCGCGCGGCGTGGCGGCGGCGGGCGGGCGCGGCGGCGCGCCGATGCGCATGAGCTCGCGCAGGCTGGCCGCCGCGCCCGCGCCCGCGCCCGTCTCGCCGCGCACGCGCAGCACGTACGCCGCGCCCGGCACCAGCCCCGACACCACGCCCGCGCGCGCTGCAACCAACGCACGCTCGCACTCAGAGCCCCGGCCCGGCACGCGCGGCGGCGGGGGGAACGACTGCGGTACCGTCGGCCGGGAACTCGATGGTGGTGACCCTGTCGGGGTCCGCCTGCGGCGCGTACTCCAGCAGGAAGCGGCGCAGGTCGCCGTTGGCGTCGCGCGGCGGCAGGTCCCAGGCCAGGTGCAGCTCGGCGGGCTCGGCGCGCGTGACGCGGAAGTCGCGCGGCGCGGGGGGCGGCGCCTCGCGCGTGCGCACGTCGGCGGAGCGCGCGCGCGACGTGAGGCGCAGCGCCCCGCCGCGGCCGGCCACCACCACCACGGTGAACGTGTACACGCGGTGCGCGCGCAGGGCCCGCACCTGCACACCGCACTGTTACTGTCCGTCCGCCGCCGCGCGGGGGGCGGGGCGGGGGCGGGCACTCACCGTGATGCCGAGCTCATCCGTGGTCAGCGTCTGCAGCTGGTCCACGTCGGTCAGGTACTGCACCTCGAAGTCGGTGTAGTCGCCCACCGGCTTGTCCCACGCCAGCGTAATCTCATGAGCGCCGACCTCGGTCGCGTTGAGCTGCGTTATGGGCCGGGGAACTGTGGACAAGCGGGGCTCGCATGAAGTGAGTGCAGCGAGCGAGGGGGGCGCGGGGGGCGCGGCAACGTACAGAGTCGCGCCTGGCGCTGCACGGGGTGCGAGGTGACGTTGTGCGAGACGGTCCACATGGTGACGTTGTAGAGCCGGCCCGGCACGAGCCCCGAGAACTCCACGGCCTGCCCCTCGGCGTCGGCGGCGCGCGTGGTCCAGCGCGGCTGGGAGCCGGCGCCCTCCAGCTGGAACCGGTACGAGTCGAACAGCGACGCGGAGCTCGGCGTGCGCGTGTAGATCACTTTCTGTACAAACCAAACAACGCTACACATTAATAATGTTATGACATTAGGATGGTGTCCGGCCGATCCCGCTTCTCATATATGAGGACACCGCCAAAGAAGTTCAGAAATCTGGGAAGTGTATGTAAACACGTATGTTAACCAGCCAGTGCATATACGCTGATGCTGTAATGTGATGATGGAATACTTCAGTGCGCTGCATCACCCAACGTATGCGGAGTTTGGTGAGGGCACGTTGCTACGCTCCTACTTGTTTTGCGTACGCGTTCATAAACTTCATTCAACAAATAATCATTATTATATTTCTCTACTTGGATACGTCAGTGTGCTACATGAAGGACATGCGTAGCGTATGAATGAACGCGTGCAGGAAGCGGACGCGGCGGTACTGACGAGAGTGGTGGAGGCGGTGTCGTTGTCGTCGTCGGTGCCGGGCTCGTTGACGATGGTCATCTCGGACTGGATGAGCGGACGCGTGCGCGTGTCCATGGTGAAGACGTCGGAGCTGAGGTTGTAGGAGTGCGCGGCGACGGCGACGGAGTAGGCGCGGCCGGGCTGCAGGCCAGCCAGCGCGGCGCGCGCGCGCGGCCCGGCGGGCGCGCTGAGGTTGCGCGCGCCGCCCCCCCCGCCCCCCAGCGCGCGCCACTGCAGCGAGTACCACTCCACGCGCCCGCCCGGCTGCGGCCACTCCAGCGTCATGTTGCGCGTGTCCACCAGCTGCTCCACGTTGCTCACCGGGTTGGGCCCTGCACAACGTTTCTCTCTTACTTTGCTAACCTACTCCTTCATACTATTCTACGATATATCATTCATTACGAAAATAAATAAATGAAACATGCTACAAAATATCTGCACAACTAATTGAGGACATTTACATTTTGCGTTGTAAAGTAAATAAATTATTTATTCATATTTCATTTATATAAAGAGTCACAGTTCACAAACCCTGTACCCAGACAATACAAGTAAAAAAATACAATTTCCCGACCCTTGTCAATTTATAGACACTGAATTAAAATTTTGCTAAAAGTGACAACCCTAAGACAGTAGGCAATTATATCGCGGACCGGGTCGGAGATGGCGTACTGCCCTTCTCTGTATAGTATGGCAGTGAGCGGTAGTACGCACGGACGGTGTGCTCCTCGCGCAGCGGATGGTCGCTCTCGAGCGCGTCGCCGTCGGCGGGCTCGCCCAGCGTGTCCAGCTCGATCAGGTAGTGCTCGCCGTGCGTCATGTTGGGGATCTCGGCGCGCTCGGCGCTCGGCGGCAGCGCCGGCAGCGCGGTCCAGCGCGGCTCGGCGCGCGTGCGGTAGCGCAGCACGAAGCCGCCCAGCGCGGAGGCGCGGCGCGGCGGGCCGGCCCAGCTCACCAGCACGCTGTTGGACGTGGCGCGCGCCAGGCGCAGCCACTGCGGCGGACGGGGCCGCACGCCGCGCCGCAGCGTCAGCCGCTCGCTGCGCAGCCCGTGCGACACGGCCGCCAGCTGGATCTCGTACACCGCGCCCGGGAACAGCTCCGCCAGCGTCGCGCTCGTCTCCTTCGTCTCCAGCTGCGGGACCGGCGCCTCAGTAAGGTGGAAGCGGGCAGTGCGGACCTCTTCACGTTAGTGTGGGACACGAACCTTGCGGTAGGGCGCGTCGGCGTCGGGCGCGTCGTCGGCGGGCTCGGGCGCGCGGCGGTAGGCGAGCTCGTAGCCGTCCTGGCGCGAGTTGACGTCGGAGCGCCAGGACAGGCGCAGGTCGGAGTCGCTGGCGCGCGCGGCCAGCAGCACGGGCGCCAGCGGGCGCGTGGCCAGCGCGGCGGCGCGCGGCTCGGCGGGCACGCCGCGCGACACGGCGGCCACCCACACGCTGTAGTTGCGCCCCGCCAGCAGCGCGCGCAGCGTCACGCGCGGCTCCGCCGTGCTCAGCGTGTTGCTGTCGTCGCGGGACGGGCCCGCCTCGTGGTACGACACCTGCGCACATGTACCGCATTTATACATACACGAGGAAGACACTGCACAATGGACTGCGCTATTCCAAAGACACGGTTTTAAAAAAAATACACAAGTTTACTACATCAGGTGATACGCACAATGTTAATAAAAATAAAAAATGTATGCGCTGCACCTTCAAGGATTAAAATGGCAAGCGGCAGTCCATATTATACCTATGGCAATAAAAATATATAACAGGATACCAGACACGTTGAAAACTGAAAAATCTGAAACCTTTTACCAAAAGTTAAATTTGCTTATCCATGACAATAAGATTGATTAATTATTATATTGACTATATTTGACATTAATACAGTAACTTAATTTAAAACTACTTAAAATAACAAAGTCTTATTCATGGTGTTTGAGGGTGGTAATTATATGTAGATATATTGCAATGCTTGTAATAGGACTGCCAAATCTTAAGAACTTAACCACAGCGTAACAGCATTCCTCAGTCACCGCACTGACATTACAAATGCGAAACTATGTTTGTTTGCTTGTCTTCCGTTCACGCTACACATCGAATTGCAGCATTTTGCTGTAATGCTGTGTCCGGAGATGCGTAGGGAAGCAGAGGGTTTATTCTCCGAGGGCACAGGTAAGGCCGAGAGTGGCAAGTGAGTAAAGAAAAAATCATTCGCGAGCGGCGGTGGGTTACCTTGTACTCGTCCTGCGTGCTGGCGGGCGCCGGCGTCCACCACAGGTCCACGGCGCCGTCGGCGGCGTAGCGCCACGCCAGGTCGCGCACCGGCAGCGGCTCTGCAAGCAGGGGCCCGTCAGCGCTGCGCCAGCGGGGCGCCGCGCAGCGCTGCTACTCACTACTCACTGAGCGTCAGGTCCGTGGCGGCGGGCCAGGACGTCACCTTGCCCGACATGGTCTTGACGGTGACGGTGTAGGGCGCGCCGGGCTCCAGCCCCTCGAAGGAGCAGCTGGGCGTGTCGTTGCGCGCGCGCACCACGGGCGCCAGGCGCCGCCCGCCCCCGCCGCTCCCGCTCACCGACACCTGGTACTTCTCGAACTCACTGTCGGCATCACCACACCACCACCATGTAACTGTACCTTTCCTTCACGCTCATTTTGGCTACTGTACACTATGAATGACACAGATTGACTAGCAAGAGTCGGTCGGCGACGTACCTCTCCTCGAGCGGCGGCAGCCACGTGACCTTGAAGGAGGTCTCCTTGAGGTCCGCGAGCGGCACGGTGACGTTGCGCGGGCGCAGCGGCACGGTGCGGTACTGCGCGGTGGTGGGCGCCGAGATCTCGGGCTCCGACACGGTCTGCACGGAGATGTTGTAGGCGCGGCCCGGCACCAGCCCCTTGAAGGCGGCCTGTGCCGGGCCCGGCGGCTCGCCCTCCTTCTCCACGTACAGCTCCGAGTCGCGCGCGTCGGGCGGCACGATGGACACCTGCGGCACGCACGCGTGTACTGGCGGCGGGGGCTAGCGGGGGCGGGGCGGAGGCGGGAGGGGGAGGGGGCGGCACGTACCTTGTAGTGCGTGTAGGCGCCGGGCGGGTAGGGGGGCTGCCACAGCACCAGCAGCGTGGTCTCGTTGCGGAACCACACGATGAACTTGCCCGGCGTGTTCGGCTCTGCGGGGGAGGGCACAGTCAGCGAGGCGCTACCGTCTACGTGCTCGGGACATTCTCGGCTTACTTTACTCATTCTACTTCTTATAATAACTTTAAACATATTTTTACTACTTTTACCATGCACTTTACCTACCTTCCTCTACAAATTCAACATGCTACTTATTAAAGGTCTGTACTCAAATGTTAGTGATGCCTGTAATTAGGCTTCGCCTCACGGCCCTCGTGGTTATAATTAGGCAGACAGTACAATTTTCCAGTCAGCAATCAATCAGATAATGTAATTCGGTTCACGCTCAACAAAGTTAGTGCAAGCTAAGTGTCACGCCAGGCACAGTATGTACACGAGGCGGTATTCATTCGCCATTTCAGTGTCAATATCAATGGAGTTGAACAAATGTTGAACAAGCAGCGCGAGTACATGCAGCCGAGTAAATAAATGCTCTGCTCACCAGGGTCCCGTGCATCCTGCGCAGCGGTACAAAACAAAACGAGGTTACATCAGAAGGGAACACTCCCACATTCCTACCATCGAGGTGCCGCCTGCTTTTACTCTAGGCAGCTCTACATTTTTACATAATTAGAACCGAGCTGCGCCGGCGCATGTTCTGGAACACTAGATACGGCACCGTATGCGGTATCGCAAGTGCGAAGCTTAGTGCATTCCATGCGTCAACGCCGGTTCCAATATATTCCCATCCGACAGTAATAAGCAATTACTCTTTTAAGTTTTTATTCCACCATTCATTCAGAACTCAGGGTCCATACATATTATTTCTAAATTATTTTGGATGGTATATGTTTCTTATGTCTTTAATTATTTTTTATAAAGTGTTTGTGATAAATGTCGTATTAAACAGTGTGCTGATACGTATGTGAGTGTCGTCAGATAGAGGGAAGTTCCTTGTTAGACATAGTCAAATAGCTGCTGATTAGTGTTTACAATAATGGGTTGCATCAAGGCCGGTACCGACTGCACCAAACCTGTATCAATGCGTAGTAATTACTAGAATTTTCGAGAGTAGAGTAGCAAAATGTATGAGGCAGTGTGTTAGCATGATTGAAAGATATTTATAGATTATATAAAGATACTTCGTGTACCTAACGAGCACAAGTGATCGTGTGTTGTCAGTTAGAAACAATAATAATGTCGCGGTACGCAACACAACGGCCATGTCTCAAGTCCGAGAGCCACAGAATTTATGCAAAATCAATTAGTTTCGCGTATGAGGCCGCTGCCTCATTGTCTTGTCGAGGAAGATGCAGCGGACGCCCCGCAGCCGCGCGGCCGTGTCTGATTGTCCCATCGGTGACCTCGGCCGTCGCTGCTAGAGGCGCGGTGGCCGCCTCGCATAGTTGACACAGTGTCACGTGACGGGGCACACTAAATGTCAAGGCAACGCTACTCAATAATCTAGTTGAGAGAGTTCGAGTTTCTACTATTTGTGTATTTATGTTTGTATGACGCACATATTTACGAAACACCCGACACATTGACTCATTCGTTATATGAATCAAATAACTAGGTTTAGATAACTTCAAGTAATTTCGCATTGTACTGTTGTTTCTATAGGACGAATAATTACATGCACCGTTTGTGCGAGCTCGCATGGGAAGCTGAATGACAAATTATGTCATCACATCTATATAGAACCTCACAATATAACTATGTATAGTCAGACAGAGAATAATGATTTCCGGCCTTCATTATTTGCTCCAAGTGTTCAGGTTTTTAAACTGATTCGTCAAATCCAGTGTGAGTTACGTCTGATGGAATTATTTCGTCTACACGAAGCAGAACATTGTAGTGAGGCGTTGAAGGAACCAGACAGTCGAGCAAAGAGGTACAGTCTGCACGACTCACTGGTGGTGAAGTTGCGCGAGGCGTAGGCGGCGCTCTCCTTGTCGTGCAGCAGCGTGAAGGCGTGCAGCTGGTAGGTGGCGCCGGGCGACAGGTCGCGCAGCGTGTGGTTCCAGGCGGCCGCGCCCTCCACCGTGATGTTGCGCGCGCCGCCCTCCGCGCGCTCCGTCAGCGGGATCACCTGTACCGCACAAATCATCTTTTCCTTCAACCTATTTAAAAAACGACCCGTAGACCACGTCCGTTTTACTTTTTCCTTACTTAATTGTTTTTCCTGATGCATCTGAATCTTGTAACGGAAAGATTTCCCCATAATTGTATGACGATTACCGAAGTAGGTACCATATTTGCAAGTCACGCCTCGCTATTGTGACATCACCGCCTGCACCGCCGCGGTAGGTATAACACGTACCTTGAACCTGAATCCGGTGTAGTCACCGTGCGCTGGGGGCGACCAGGATATGTATGCTTGTTTGTTGCGGCCCAACGTCACCGTCAAATTTGTAGGCGGCTCCGGCGCTGTACGGAAAATAAGATGATAGAATCGAACACAAAACGTGCTCGCGGCGTGCTCGTCTTTAGTTTTCCTCCTTCCGTTAATAAAGTATATTAATAATAGTATATAGTATCAGACCCAAACGGCACAATAACCACAGATTAATTCTACACCGGGATCTTATTTAACTTACCTAGAATAGATTAAAGTCAACAAGTTTACTCATCATCCTTATACATTAAGGACGTTTTCCACACCTACTACCGCTATATACCGTTTCATCCTGCAGATTGCCCTAGAGGTTAGACATATATCGCCACCCAATAACTTTCGAAGCTTTAATTTAGGCGCAGTTGATAGATGAGCCTTTACTGCTCACTATCGCTATTTTTTTACTATTGGATTGAGCTATTTTGTCCGACTGTAAACTCGTTCATCATCGGTGGCTCACCACTAGCCCGGTCCCTATACGATCACTATACCTACCAATGCGGCAAAATTATTCATACACACATTTTATTCAGGCAAGTAGTCTCTATAGTTTGCGATTGCCATTTTTATACACTAAAAAAATCGTCAAGGTATCAAGTAATTAGTACGATTGTGACAGTTATCCTCTCAGCAGTGGACGTGTTTAAGGAAAAACCGAAGGATAAAATCTTATCTTGATTAAACTTTGATATCTGACTCAATTGTGTACGATTTTAAGATTATCTGCAAAACGGTCTCCAAAGTATTACGAGTTACAGAAAGAATGTGAAGTTACTAATCTTTAATAATCGCCATTACGTAAACCTAATAATACTAATGACGGCTACTTTTTTAAATGTTATGTCTGGTTGGTTTTATTTATTCAAAGACTGAACCCTGCATCGGCCTCTAAGTTAAGGTCCCCAGCCAGGACAACTACTTATAAGACTAATGCCTAACACACCCTGTGAAGTCGGCCCTCGGTTCAACTGGTCCATTGGGCGGAAGGGGCGGGAGCGGAGGGGGGGAGAACGTGGAGTTTGGTTCTTTTCGGAACATTCAACATTCATGAAAATAATTGTTTAACAAGCGTTTGATAAATTGCTTCAAAGAAGGTATTTTGATTTTATATTGACATGGTCGGACGGCTCCAGTTTTACATATCGTTTAATTTCTGTAAATGTATGTGTGTATGACAGAGGGTGAACCTATTGCCGGGCGGACAAAACACACTAAATGTCCTGAGAAAAATGGTAAAGTTTCGACACTCAGCACCCGTACTTGCGACCACGTTACCAGATAGGCAGTCATCCTCCTTATTGCGATTATAAACTGATAGTTTATGTTCTACTGAATAAATAAATAAATTACATAACTGGCTACCATAAGTCAGTGCACAGTTAGCTATAAATTTTGTTATCATATACATGTCTACAATATGTATATCTAGGCTATTTCTTATTCGGTAACCCAAGTTAGTAAAGAATACGGTTTTTATTGAGCTGACGTCAGTATTTTTTATTTACTTTTTCAACTACCTAACTGAATGTAAATCTTTTATTTTTTTAACGCTACCCCTATATTATTTTTTCTTGTGTCGTGCGTGCCTTTACAAACATATAATGTCACATACACATTACACCCAGACCAGTGTTGTTCCGGGCGGGAGTCGAATCCGCGACACGTTATACGGTAGCCCGTCGCCTAGCTACCGCGTCAACCGTGTAGTCATTGAATTTCTGACATTTTTATATCAAAATGTTATTGGAGTTCTCTTTGTCGAAAATGGCAGATTTGTATACCTAGTTAAAGTTTATACAGGGAAGGAGGGAAACTAGAAAGAGCTATTTAATACTATGAATTCATCTCATTAGCTCAATAACATGTACATTATAAGAATACATATGTTTCAAGGATCTGTAATTAATGTCAAATGGCATTTCATAATAACATATTATTAAGCATGCTGAACAGTACCAGTAATGATAGTTTGGTTCCATGTCAAGAGGTCTGCGAATGTAGCATTGGAGTAGTAGAGCATGAAGTGGTACTTGGTGCCCGGCAGGCCCTGGAAGTTGATAGTGTTGGCACGTGCCGGCACCGTGAAGTTAGGCGGGGGGGTACCATGCGGCGGCCGGTAATCCAGCCGGTAGTGGCCGCCGTCTGCCTCCGAATCCCCGCTCACTGAGCCAGGGATCTCAATCACCAGGTCTGCACATGCCGCACCCCGCCAAGTACTCTGAACACAAATAATAAAAGTATTGAGTTATACTTACTTGCTACTTATCTGTTATACTGTATTATAAAGCTTAATAGTTTGTTTGGTTAGACGGGCCCAATCTCCGGTAGTACTCGTCCAAATATATTAATTAGTTTTGTCTTTCGTAATTAATTAAAATATAAGGCCATAAACCACCTAGCTATCCTCAAAAGAACCCGAGTAGCAGGTGAGACCGTATGGTGTAAGAACCTAAACAATTTGAAATAAATACATAAATCAATGTGTTTACTTGTTAGGTTGTACAGTGTTTATACTGCATCTGAACTTGGCTTTTATAACTGACAAATTTATGAAAAATGAAATTCAATTTGATTTCAAGTATGAGTAATGAATGATATGGTAATAGCAACAGTAAAAGTACTTAGCTTTATATCTTATAACTTTTAAAGTGTCTCTAACATTAGTTGCATTTCAGCATATTGAGTATTTATGAAGATCATTTTTTTATAACTTAATTTATTGTAGCACATAATTCACAGCACTAAAATCTGAAATGCAATCTGTAATATATCTAGATATACTATCTATTTTAACAACTGACAGCCCCATAGCCTAATAATAATTAATATTTTATTGCAAGAAACAGACAGCTGTGTCCAAGTAAATAATCAGTTATCTTTTAATTATAGAAATTGGCATAATTCTGGTCTGAATTGAATATTATCAGTAGACAATGAGTGAGTAGGTAGATATCAATGTAGCAGTAAAATCAATCCAATAAACTATATGGCTCATATATTTATTCAGAAATTGGATGATGAAAAATCAATATTTAATAAACAAACTCTGGCACTCTTTAAATATGGCAAAACACAGTATTAACAGATTCAGACAATTACAAATTGTATATTCTGTAATGGTTATTTGAGAAAAGAATCATTTGAGAAAGAGAAAAGTTTAGATGGAATTATTATTGTGCTGATGGTTGTAGGGAAAGCAAAAGCTAGTTTTATTATGATAAAGAATTGTTTGTTGATATTGACTTTAATGTTTGTATAAACAATAACATAGCATGTAGCTAGTCCAGTGCTGTCTCTTCGAACTCTGCTGCTGTGCTATCTTTACGAACTCACCGCGAATACAGCGAGCAGCATGGCCAGGGCCGCGGTGGCGCGCGCGCACCCAGTCGTCGCTTGCACAATCGACCTCTTCCACATCATTGAAGGCGACGACTGTCCGATTTCACGACACTTTCTCTTCAACATAACACTATTTTTCTTTCGGAGATTACCCATAAACGATATAAGGGATTGTCCTGGGTAATCATATTTTCACGTTAACATTTTATATGATTTCTACGTCGCAGTATAAATAGTTTCGCATTTTATCACATTACCAAATTCAATATTACAAGTTGCACCTATCTTGTCAGTCTGGTTGTCATGTCAGCTTTTTTTTTGGAGTTTATGGCCTGGATATAAGTCCTCTTAGCCATGTCATGTCAGCTTGTCAGGGACAATGTTGCTTGCGTAAAAAACTGAAACAGATAATTTATTTTTAAAACTATTTGTATGACTGGATGAACATGCGTAAATATACAAACAGAGTAATTTCGTAAAACCAAAGATATTATATGGACAACTTGTCAACACCAACCAAAAAACAACTTGTGCCTATTCGAATCTGGAACAATAACCAAAATCTCGTTATCTGAAAGAAACTCGCCTGAGTGTAAAGTAAATGAATAACTTAACTATTTCGGCTTCATCTAGTTTTTCACATATAAATTGAAGTGTAAAAGTGGCCTATTTGCAAAAATAAATGCGTTGTGTAGCGCGGGATTTTATTTGGTTAGGCTGTGGCTTCGCTACACTACACAGTTAACTACACTACACAGTTTAATGGTTGAAACATTAAAGTTGTTTCATTGTTGTTTCATAAATACATATAAATATAATTGATGTAAAATAAAATACACACTATAGGCTATCACATCATTTTTCATAGTTTGTATTTTAAAGCTAGTTGCTGGTGGATAATCCTGGCCACGAGGTTGTGTCTATGCAAGTACTCTCCATTACCTACGTGAGAACAACCCGAAATAATATGTCGGATGGATTCCCCTGAGCGATGACATGCCCGACAAATGTCAGCTGTACCATCCTTTATAATATACTCGCGACCCGCCCCCGCTTCGCACGGGTCCAACTATCTCGCTAACAATGAAAGGGTCCCTTTTTCCCAATTTCCCCCTCTACTTTTCTAATATTTTCTTTCATAAGAACATTCTCCTGATAATAATAAATACAAAACAAAAGGATTTGACTAAATTGGTCCACCCGTTTTTGAGTTATGCGCTTACCAACACATTTTGCGATTCATTTTTATATTATAGATTTTCGGTAATTATTCGTCAGCATAACTTCATCCATAATTGCACAGACAAAACCTTCTGTTTCAACAAATAAACCAAAACGTAGCCAGGATACGGACGCTTATTATTATTAAGTGTCCAAATAATTTCAATCGGGAGGACGGCTTTTAATTGCCGTCGATTTGGAATCCAATGATTCGGAAAACACAACCTAGCTTTCCTTTAAAGTCGGTTAACACAGTTGTGGATACGCTCAGCGTAATGTGTAGACGGCCTAATACGGTAGAAAATGAAAATAAGGGGGTAGATCAATGACGATATAACCACATAATTATTGTACGTGGTTATATACTCTTTGGGGTAGATGAAGATTCATCGACTGCCCGAATGCAGGGAGCTGTGACATCGCATCTTCAGTCTGCCTGTGACCACGACCTGTGCAACCGGATCCAAACGTCAAGCCTACCAAAGTATTTAAATAATGGCGTGAAGGATTAAATGAGGATCATTGGCGATGATGCACTTGTCGAGTCGAGACTTCAAAGTCTTGAGCATCGACGCCGAGTTGCAACAGATCTTACAGATGTGCAACCAATCCCGAAAAAATCTAGGCTTTGTTTTGCGGCAGGCAAAAATTTTAAATAATCGACAAGCCATTACTATAATGCATACATCCGTAGTATATTGGAAACCAACAGCAATTTGGAATCCACATGAAAAAACATAAACTTTGGTCATTGAGTAAGTACAAAAATCTTTTGTTCGCTACCTTTACTCTAAGTTATATGGCTACTACCCTTACATGTATCCAACGCCGTTTGTACTAGGAATGGTAACATACCAAAGCTAGGAAGTTAGGAGACATCTCGCTTTTTTTAAGTATGTCATCCGTATTATTCGTGGTTCCCGCTTCAATTCATCGTTACTGCAAAAAATTTTCTTCAACATTACGCTACCTATCAGGCACACACTGCGACTTCGTCAACGCACACTATTTGCGATACCTGAATCTGGTACCGTAACCCTCAAGACCAGTCCAAGACAGTCATAGAGGCATCGCTTACTAGTCGCCATAATGAAATCGATTTCATTTCTGGTTGAACCATCGATGCTTATTCTCTTTCTGGAGCGTCGCTCCTTTAAGAAAGAGTTCACCAGATAAAGTTTCTCCTTCTCCATAAAGTCGACAAGCCGCAGACACCAATGCTTCCATTGCCCTTCTCCAAATTACCAAATTCTTAACATTGACGTTTTGTATACATTTATGTTGAAGTTACTGCTAATTTTATATTCCGATGCAAGTAGTAAGGCAGGCCCCTCATCACTTACTAGCTAATCGATATGTTGCAAGAATTCCAGAAAATCCCACTTTTGTGTAGCTTGAGTGAAAGATTGTGGTCTGTAGTGCCCTATACTGCTCGAAACCTAGCTTCTTCTAAGCTGCAATACATCAAGTCAATCAACAGACAATACGTGAGGACTCCAGACGGCTTATAAGCAGTGTTCAAAAGCTATAATTTAACTTACCATGCTGTCTGATTCGCTAGGGTAACAGTCTGTGCAAAAATATTATACCTACTGTACAAAACATTATATCATGTCGATTGTTAGGTACTTGATGAATTTGCCTTGTAAAATATATTAAAAATAAAATGAAATAAGATTTGAAAGGAATTTAAAATATTGGGTTCGCTACTGCTGTAGTATAAGGCGTTTAGTGTAGTATGTAAGTTGGTAAATATATAGGCTTTCTTATTGTAATCTATTTAACCCATCATTACCATCATCATCATCATCATCAGCCTATAAGATAAGTGCCCACTGCTGAGCAAGGGCCTCTTCTCATACAGAGAAGGTTAGAGCATTAACCACCACGCTTGCTCAATGCGGGTTGGCGATCTCATGCATGAGAAGCGGGTTCCATAACCTCCGGGCCACCACGACATTCACACACACACACACACACGAAAATTTTCACATTTAACCTATGTTTTTATTGAAATATATTCAGTATTTCAATTCCATACTTCGACGTATCATTTATCTCTTCAATAACCAGCCTTACAGTAGACGCCTTCTTTTTATTCTTTATACGTCTGTGCATACTACATAATCTTTGGTAGAAGGGTGTACAAGTCATTTGAGGTTTTTTTTTTCTATTACGTCTATAGGAGTAATTCAAGGAACTTATAGTTTGATTCTTTCAATAAAATTAGTTCCTTGGAGAAAATTATACTTTTTCGTAAACGAAAAGAGCAATTTGGCGATTGTTCAAAGCATTGAGATAGAAAATATTTCCTATGTCAATGCATTGACATAGGAAATATATGGACTTGAAATACCTACGAAAAAAAGGTGCCTACCTACAATCCAAACTGTCGCATAAGATGGCTGCCGTTGCTAGGGTTGTGCCGACTAAGTATTTAACGAGTATCGATACAATTTGAGTAAAAGTTCTACGTAGGTATAGTTTTAGGGATTAGCCAGCTGATTAACGGTATTTTTTATGGGAAATCATCTAATGTCATCTCCGGGCTTTTTCGGGACAGACCGTTACTGACTAAAATCAACTCCTGTTCCTACTTTGCCGTCGGCCTAGCTAGAGCCCGGAACCCGGGGTTAACTTGGTCTCTTGATTGGCTAATGATTTTCTCAAGTCGAATTTGTATTTAATATAATTCTACGTAAAGCGTCTTTTAAAAAAATAGGACTGTGTTTATGAACAGCGTTTAATGGAATGGTGATTTGCCAGACTTCGTGGCAAGGTAAATAATGAGACTGTAGATGGTTAAGGTCTGTTTATTACTTTAATTGCTGGTGCTTATATACTAAGAAGATGCGTGAGATTTTCAGATTTAGCTATCCTAACAAACGTGCAACAATTAACATGTATGTCTTATCTCTATCGTATCTAAGTAATGTAGCGACGTGATAGTGCCGCTACATATACTCCCCCCTTTTAAAAATAATTAACATATAAATTGAAAAAAATTAGTATGTACCTAATTATATAATAACTTAACCTTGCTGATAAATTACATCCTATGCGTAATGTAATGTCATTGTTGCTAATTCGAAGGAAATAAAAACTGCTGCCTTTGTTGTGACGGCGGCGGCAGTCGATGAACTATCCACTTTTACTTGTGTCAGCAAGTGACGAATCGTACTGTCGGCTTAACCGCCCGTCCTGACTTCGTGATGTACGTGTTCCGCCCGTTGTGATTATTTTCTGAATTTGGCACGTTCGTTCCACTGTTGAAGACAAATGCAGGTTTTAATCGGTCTTGCACGTGCTGATACCGGTGGTCCTTTAGTGATAATATGATGCTTAATCTTGTGTTTTGGAGTAGTGTGGAGGGAGGCTGGTTTCGTAATATCCTCGTATTCATTTAATAGTTGAGTAATGCGTGGATTCGTCTCAATGTTAATAGTGCGGATTGTTTGCTGCGTCGATTTGATCAGGGTTGCGGGCGTTGTCAGCTCAGTTACCCTATCTATGAGTTTTCGACCAGCTATATCGACTAATAGCTTATAATGCTCTAAAAAATCTGCTCCAATAATCGGTTGTGTTACATCGGCGATGACAAAGTTCCATACAAAGTTTCTTCGTAGCCCGAAGTTTAAAGAGAGTGTTTTTTTACCATATGTCTTAATTTTTGTACCATTGGCGGCATAAAGTATACATTGTTCATCTTGTATTAGTGAATGTCTCTGTGGCTTGCTAATAACTGAAATATTTGCTCCCGTGTCAATCAAAAATCTCATACCACTTTTTCGGTCGGTAATAGTGAGGCGGTTGGACGGGTGAATAGCACAGAGTTCCGCCGTTGTCCGTGCTTCAATTAGTTTCCCTGTTTCCTTGAGTTGAGATCCTGTTTCCAATCACAAGGTTGAACACACTTTTGTGCATATTTTTTAAATCTTCCATGGTAAAAACAAAAGTGCCTTCTTTCTCTTGAACTCGACTGTGGTAGGAAATGCCGACGATTGGAATAACTTTGAGTGCTGCGTCGATAGTTTTTTTGACCTTGCTGAATTGCATTTAGTTCCAATTGCATTTCTGCTAACTGTGCTAGTATGCATGACATTGTATCGTCGCCAGATTTGTTTCCGTTTACAGCTGACACCTCTGTACGTGTTGAATTTATTAATATCTTGTCCGCGATCTGGCTCATCTTGTTCACATCTATGTCTTCTGTGACTGCTAGAACCGAAGTCACTGATGGTGGCAGAAGCCTCAACCATAGAAGTTTGATGGTTTCGTCGCTGATATTTCCGTTACTCAGGGTCCGCATCTTGCGCAGAAGATGTGATGGTTTCTGGTCGCCGAGATCCATTTCAGACAATAATTTTTGGAGCTGACGTTGGTCTGATTCCTCATAGCAACTGATTAGGCGTTCTTTGATAGCCTTGTACTTTTCTATTGGCGGTGGGCAAGTAATGAGGTCACTAACCTGTATTATTTCTTCTTTTGGCAGTTTTGCAATGACCGTATAGTACTTGTAATCGTCTCCTTGCTTCTGTGGTGCTACTATGGCTTCTAGTTGCTTAAACCATAATCTGGGTTGGTCCCTCCAAAATTCCGGAATACGGGATAAAATGGCGGTTCCGGCTGATATCTCCAAGGCTTCTTTGTTGGCTGCTGCTTGATTTGCAGGGTGAATGAGTCATGTTGATTGTTCTTCGTCGGGTCACCAATTTGCCAGACTTCGTGGCAAGGTAAATAATGAGACTGTAGATGGTTAAGGTCTGTTTATTACTTTAATTGCTGGTGCTTATATACTAAGAAGATGCGTGAGATTTTCAGATTTAGCTATCCTAATAAACGTGCAACAATTAACATGTATGTCTTATCTCTATCGTATCTAAGTAATGTAGCGACGTGATAGTGCCGCTACAGTGAAATAGAAAAAGATAGTGTTTGTTAAATGTTTATCTTTATATATGCGGAAAACCTGTGGGTATTTGTGAAGTGCTCGCGCACAATTTCGGCGCGTCTGATTAAGCGATGATATCTTCGAAACTACGTTAGCACAAAATAGATATGTAGTGAAGTCAATCTTATTGTATGTATCTCACTTTTTATTATTACGCTTGGTGGTCGCACTGGAATCGTCGCCAACGCCGCTCTGTCAATCGCGCCCGTATAATTATAAAACATGATAATTTGAACTTCTACTTATGTAACTAAAACCAATACCAAAATACTGACGTCTTACTTTAGCGTTACACAAAACTGCGGAAACATCCATTGTTAAAATAGATTATTTAGTATAATATATGTTGAATTTTAAATGGGAGATTATATCGATACTTTTGTGAAATGGTACGTAACTATGCCATATTGACATATTATTGTAAACAAAAATTTTTTACTAAAACTGTCTCACAGACAGAAATAAAAGTAAATATATATACTTTGGCAATAGATTAAAGTATCCGTGACATTTTTTTCTATCTATGTGGATTATTCTAAGTAATATTTGATGAAAACTGTTTACTAACCTATACAAAGACAATTGAGGTTGAATTTCGTTCTTTTTTGCACCACACTGCACAATACAACACACAGGCATATTGTTTTTTTGTTTCACTATATATATTTGAAGTTTAAAAAAATAGTTCTTTGTAATTTACTGAAAAACCGCAATAATTTAAAACATAAACAACCGTTTGACAGGACAACTACCATGAAACTCAGGTACTCTGAGCGCTTAAGATGGCGGACATGGCACTTACCTACAACTTTGCTAATGACAAAATGATTTGTTTCCATATTAAGCAACAACTTAAATATTGTTGTCCCTTTTGTCTAATACAATTATTGCCTTAGAAAGAGTGAGAAAAAATGATATTTCATAGTTTGTTTCATATTTCCCTCATATTTGTATAAGCATGTATACTTCTATAGTAACACGGCGCCTCTATATATTTTCTATCTCAATGTGTCAATGGTTCAAAGCAGGAAGTGTCAGTGTCAACTGTCAAGCTGTCAAGTAAACTGTAAAATTAATCATGGCGGTTTATTGAAAGAAATAAACAAGTTTGGATTTTCAAACTTTTAAAACTACTTACAGACTGAGCTGAGTAATTTGTGAAACATGGTAGGAAATGATTCAAGTTCGTGGTCACAAGATGAGACAATAAGAATACTGATCGCTTCAGATATTCACTTAGGTTATTTAGAAGAGCATCCTATCCGAGGCGAGGACAGCTTTATTGCATTTGAAGAAACATTATCATTGGCAGTTCAGTATGATGTGGATCTGGTGCTACTCGGTGGTGACTTATTCCATCACGCAAAGCCCTCCCTTAATTGTATTTTTAAGTGTACGGAGATCATTCGTAAATATTGTTTTGGCGATAAGCCGGTAAGCATCGAGTTACTTTCAGACCAGACTGTCAACTTTTCTCGAAACGTTAATTATGAAGATCCAAACTTAAACGTGTCATATCCAATACTATCTATTCATGGAAACCACGACGATCCTGTGGGCCGTGAAGGGATAAGCAGTCTTGATATACTCTCGACAGGAGGTTTAGTGAACTATTTCGGCAAATGGACCGACTATACTCACGTGCGTATTTCGCCCGTACTATTACAAAAAGGTGCTACGAAACTTGCCTTGTATGGTTTGAGTCATCTGAAAGACCAACGCTTGTCACGCCTTTTTCAAGAGAAAAAAGTAGAAATGCTGCGTGATGAAGAACATAGCTGGTTTAATATTCTGGTATTGCATCAGAACAGAGCGGAAGACAGAGGAGCTGGTAATTTTATCAAAGAAGATGAATTGCCCAAATTTTTAGATCTTGTAGTGTGGGGTCATGAACATGATTGTGAATTGTTTGATATGAAAGGTAGTAGTGAAACTAATCATTTCAATGTGATCCAGCCTGGCAGCACTGTGGCTACTTCTTTGGCTGCTGGAGAAGCTAGACCTAAACATTGTGCAATGCTTCAAATTCATAAAACAGATTTCATTCTAACTGCGGTTCCTTTAAAAACTGTCAGACCATTTGTTTTCAAGACTGTTGTTTTGTCAGAACATAATCTGGGAGATGAGAATGTCAATGAAAGCGAAAAAGTTCAGGAATTTCTTAAAGAAAAGGTTAATGAGGCAATTGTTGAAGCAAAGACACTTTTGTCTGGTGATCCTAGACAGCCAACTATGCCTTTGATAAGACTTAGTGTGTTTTATGAAAGAGAAGATCAGATATTTAACAGAACAAGATTTGGACAAAATTTCAATGGCTTAGTAGCAAACTCAAATGACATCCTTTTATTGAAGAGAGAAAGAAAAATACGCGAGAAGCGTCAAGGACAAGGAGACGAGATTAATGTTGCAGACTATGTTGCTGACTCCACTGATGTTGAGACACTGCTGCAGTCCTACTATGAGGCTATGCCACCAGAACGGCGCCTCGCTGCTCTGCCTGTACAACTAATGACAGAAGCAGTGCGTGATTACACTCTCAAACAGAACGAGGATATCTTACGGCATGTCTTGGAGGCACACAGGAGGCGTTGTATTACTACACTGCTAGAGTCAAATACAGATACCGAAATAGAAGCGATTGCCGACCGACTTCGAGTACTCAGAGATGAAATAGTTTCCGCAGATACTACAAAGCTTGCTGAACTAAAGGCACTGCCTGTGTCTGAACAAATAGTTGTTGAAGGATCCAGTGATGAAGAGTTGCAAGTGGAAAAGGAGGTAGCTGCGCGGGGAAGAGGACGAGGTTCACGCGGAGGCCGTGGCTCACGTGCCCGCGGATCACGCGCGCGTGGTCGGGGCCGGGAGCCGGAGGTGTCAGAGCCCGCGTCTCCTGTCGTCGCCACTACCGACCGCCGGAGTACGCCGCGTCGCACAGCTGCACAAAAATCTGCTACATGGATTCATAACTTAGCCTCAAAGGCTCGTCGCAGAGACTCGTCAGAGATTGATGATTCTGAATGAAAATATTTCATTCTACTTCTTTTAAATCTGTTTCATTTATATAATAAATGCTTTCATTTTGTGCTTCATTGTATGTCTATTCATTTACTTACATTTCTTATCATTCTTAAGGGGAGGAGGGTATTTTTTATGGGAAATATTGGGGAGTAAAGTGGAGTGAATTTTGTGGAAAATAAATTCCTTCCGCTATAGTCAAATACACAAAGATGCAGGATGCAAGCATTGTTTAAGATAGTTTCTTTTCTTATCAGTATTTTTTTCTAAATTATCATTTTTGCTCCACAGCAATTTTAACGTCATTTTGGTATAATCCAAACTAATATTAGAAATGCGGAAGTAATAATTCTGTTTGTCTTCTGTCATTTCTTCACGCCAAAACTACTGAACCTATTTGTGTGACATTTGGATTTGAAGTAATTACCTATTTAATCTGATGCTATAAAAAATACGGTTTATTTATTTATTTTTCATTTTTTTATAAAAACGTTGCCCCACATTAGGATTTTCTCCTGTGTCGTGGGTGCTGTTACAAACATACAATTTCACATACACAAGACACCCAGACCCGGAACAACAATTTGTGGATCACACAAAGAGCTGTTCCGTGCGGGAATCGAACCCAGTTGCCCAGCCACCGCACCAACCGTGCAGTCATTTATACCAAGTAGGTACCTACTCAAATAGAATAATACGCCAAATGCATCCCCGACTCTCCACGCCAAGCCATAAATTCCCCGCAAATAGATCAATTTACTTAAAATTATTATTACTCTGATTCTTCGTAACCTAGCAAAATTATGTCATCCAAGTCCTTTCGGTGTTAGTACCACATTTTTCTTTTAATACTCGATCCAGTTCTAGCGACCCAGTCTTGCGAACGCCGCATATGGCCCCAACCGTCTAAGGTACTCTCCAAAAGGCGTCAGTTTAGTGGTAAAAATACCTACACGTTACATTAATTCAACGACTACGATTACTGGTACGCGGTGACATTAGAGAACACTAATAAATCTACTGAGAACTAAGGAATTTGCTCTTTACGCATTCCCACTTAACACTAATACTCTACAAGCGTACAACTGTACAACACAAAACGCATTAGTACTTAATTCCTTTAGTGTTGTCGGGCGGCGCTGATTGCTTACTATCATGTGACAAAAATATGTTCATTTGCCGCCCTACCTATAAAAAATTTAAGGTTTCACTTCAGAAAATAAAACAAGGAGCAAATACTTATTATATATAACATATTCTTTGTTCTTAAATTAACGTGTTTGTACATAATACTTTATTACATGAGCATATCATCGTCGAGCAGGTCAGGAAAGGCAGGACGCATAATTTCATCGATGCCAGGATGATTGGGTAGGTCAGCCGAGTCAGTAGAGTCGGGCGTGCTCAGTAGCAGGGCGCGGCGCAGGTAGTCGAGCGCGTCGGCCGCGGCGGCTTGCGGCGTGGCGGCCGGGAAGGCCAGGTCCGGGCCCGCGCCCGCCAGCTGCGCCACGCAGAGCGGCGCCAGCTCCAGCCAGTCCAGGCGCAGGCGCAGCGCCGCCGCCGCCGCCTCCAGCGCGGCCGAGGGGGACAGCTCGTGCGCCGCCTCCAGCGCGCCTATCGCTTGCGCGCGCGACTCCTCGTCTGACAAAGACGCATGTTTTCTCAATCAGTACCCAACCTCTCATCCAGCCTGCACAGCTGGAAACGGCTAACAACAAATATATAAGTTTACATATACTATATTTAGGCTGTAATTTACCGAGGCTCGCGGCGAGTGCGAGGTGGTAGTCGGCGATGCGCTGGCCGAGGTCGGGGCGGCGTGAGTGCTCCTCGCACTCCATGTAGCGTTCCATGGCTTTCTCGTGCGCTCGCATTAGTGCATCCTCCTGCGCGGGGAAAATACTTCTAATACAAGTACACAATATACACAAGATTAGCTATCACAATTATCGGAGGTATTTTTCTTATATGTCTGGTCATAAGATTATCACCATCAGCCTATAAGTGCCCACTGCTGAGCAAAGGCCTCTTCTCACACGGAGAAGGTTTGGTAAAGCTAGAGCCCAACTTTAAACCTTGAGTGACATGATTGCAATACAATAAGGCGTCAGACAGCAAGGGGATTCCTTACCTGCAGGACTGGCCCCTAAGACCCACCTAACTAACCTAAACATATTATCGGAAATTAAACTAGGACCACCGCGGACTGACTGAACCAACTTAGATTTATACGCGTGGCACTGACTTGTTGGAAGTCCAATATACTATATCTACATATATATTAAAATGGATCGCAAAAAGGTGTTGGTAAGCGCATAACTCAATAACGCCTGGACCAATTTTGCTGATTATTTTTTTGTTATGTTTGTTATTGTCAGGAGAAGATTCTTATCAAAGAAAATATTAGAAAAGTAGAGGGGAACATTGGGAAAAGTAACCCTTTGATAGCGAAATAGTTGGACCCGTGCGAAGCGGGGGCGGGCCGCTAGTATCTAATAGTTGGAATACCAGACCTTATCCATGAAAGAGAGGGTGAACTCCAAAATGCATGAAGTTAAGGCTATGACTATGTTATTTACTATTTTGTTATTTTCTTTAAGACTATGGTATTTTCTACCCACTACACCTAAAATTGTTTAGATGCCCATCGAGTATGTCGAAGAGTATTAGACGCGGGACAGAACAGTCGGTACTATATTCACAAAGCGACTAACTAGCGGTCGGTAAAGATTCTTTAGAGAATAGCAAATGAGGAAAGGAAGAGCAGTGACCTCGTTGAAGTCCCGGGTGACGCGCGCCAGGTTCTCCCGTAAGTACGAGTATAGCTCTTCTGCCGCCATCTGGCGCGCCGTCTTCTTCGTGGTGGAGGTGGCCACGCGCTCGTGCTGGCCGATGCGCGCGCGCACCGTGAAGTGCCGCAGGTGCGGGGGGCCTGTGTCTCCGACCAGCTCGTAAGTCACGGCGGACAGTCTGTATTCCTCGCATAGCTCCTTCAGCAGCGCCACGTAGCTTCGTACGTCGCTGGAGCCGCTCGCCCCGCCCTTATCAAGTATAAATATACTTATTGTTTATTATACAGCAAGTGATTGTAATTGTGTAAAATGGTCAATCGCCGGCAAAGCAAGAATGATACCGCGGGCGTATCGTGCGCGGCGGGCGCGGCGGGCGCGGCGTAGGGCGGCGGCACGGCGTGCCCGCGGCGCGACAGTTGCTGCAGCATGAGGCGCGCCACCTCCTGCTTGGCCTCCTTCTTGGAGCGCGCCGTCGCCGTCACCACCACGCCGCACGCCACGCAGCGGTAGTCGAACATGGCCTGGTGCTGCGGCCCGCTCTGTAATGTTTTTTAATTTTTTGTACCGACTAAATTATGTAACAAAGAAATGTATTGTAAAACTGATTGAAAAAGAGTAACCATGGAGTTTCTTGCTCGTTCTTCTCCATAGGAATCTACACTTTGGAACGAGCAAATAGCTTCACTAGAGGACAGACGGACAGACTGACACGCTTAATTTTAAAGCTCATATTATATACTTTTTTCCTTTTTTGCTCGCTTGACTTTCAAAAGTGCCTACTATGGTCTAATTGAAATAAATGATTTTTAACTTTTGACTTTTTTTTATAATTGTGTATCAAATTCTTTGTATCCGCAAGTTACAGTTGTCTTGTGTAAAACGAGACAACTAACTTGCTTACTGTAAACTTGTATTTTGGAAATCTAACTACAACACACGATAAAAACTAATGTGTTCGCATATTGTTGTTTCGGTCCTGGGTGTCCTATGTATGTATGTGAAATTGTATGTTGGTAACCACAACCACGAAACAGGAAGATATCAAAGGGTGGGGCAAAGTTTAAAAAAAATGTATAATAAGTAAACAGTTGGCTTTTGGTTAGCGCACCTGAGCTATACATTCATATTCAGGCGTCTGGCCCATCTTCACCATCATTTCCTGCAGGACAGTTACAGCTGTCTTCATTTTCCTGCCTTCACTATTTCTGAAAAGAAACATATTAACATGATTACGCTTTAGGTTACTTTACAGCATACAAATATTAAGTACTTTAGTAGTATTTTAAAATTTGTTTTACTTTTTGTTACATTAGTACACAGACATAGGGTTAAAGAGGCTGGTTTTTTAATGTACTTCTTTTTAAATGACTTAGAGGGAGTGTCAGACTCTTACTGTCTCTAGGCCAAGGATGTGGTGCCTTATTGCGCTTACCCCGCAAAGAACCCAGCTGAACATCACCCCTAGAGAGCCCCCGTTTGTGATGGTCTATTGGCTCTTTTTACTGGAACACAAGACATAAATTATCACTGTGCGAATTTCTCACTGGATACTCTGATCACATAAACAAAACATTATGTGATTCCTTTAATTTTTATAATCCAGAAACAAAGACTGTATTATCAGGTAGAAATGTTGTTATTACTGAGCCAGATTACTGAATGTATGATTCAATTGCAAGACTAGAGTATTGCTACAGTGGGAGATGAGGTTAAACCAGAAAACAAGGTCAGAAGGAAACAAGTTTTGAATGAACATCTAGTAGTCTTGATGGTAACTCAAACAGTGAATGTGATAATATTGATTTAATGGACAGACCCAGACAAACAGGGTCACCACGAGAGAGATATGGTAGGTTGAACTTTGTACAAGCGCTGGAACTATGATCTTTTACTTGAAGATGACATTTTATTTTCATATTTTTTAAAATTCTTACGTTAACATAATAATGTGTGTGTAATCATATTCTTACATCACCAGGTTTTAAACATCTGAGTACTTACTTCTCATAATATATAAGTATTTTAATAATGCATGGGAGGGCCACTCTGGTGTTCTGTAACACCTGCATCAGACCCCTCTCAGGGTTACTGCTCGTGTTTTTTTTTTAATGTGGTATGTTGGCAAACTAGCGAACAGGTTACTTACCTGATGGTAAGCAATCAGCGTCGCCCATAAGGACACCCGCAACGACGGAGGAGTTGCGAGTGCGTTGTCGACCTTTGGGGATTAGGGATTTGGAGATTTTGGGAAAGGGAACGGATTGTTGTAGGGGAAGGATTAGGCCTCCGGTAACCTCAATCACACGGCGAAATTTTGTAATAAAATTGTTGACCATGAGAGAAATAAAGTTGGTAGGTACATAAATACTCGAATTAATAAATTTAAGTAAAAAACTGTTTTAAGTAGGTATACACAAAAAAGATGCGAAACGGTCGACACACTATATTCAAAGGACTTTTTTTAGATCGCTATTTATAATCTTAAATATTAGCTATGTTACAAGTTTTAAGCAGCGATGTATTGTATACACAAAAAACTTTTTCGTTCGACACAAAATAAAAATACATCTTTGAGTCTTTGTTGACATTGACATTTGGTGGCGGATGTCAAATTTTAATGTTTGGATACAAGCCTAAAAAAAATACATTTTGCACAAAATTACTCTTACACGAATACAATAAATAATGTAAGGTTTAGGATTATTTCAAACCTGTATTTAATTTTATGTTTTATATTTTGTATTTTTAAAATGAGTTTCTAAATTGACAACAAAAGCAAACGAAAAAAAAAAAAAAAATTGGCGGGAAAATTGGATTTATGGTTGTCAGCAGCAGCTAGCAGCACGGGGAGAAAATGGCGGGAATTTGGGTATAGCTCACAGAACCGTATGGTTGTGATAGCGATATTTAATATTTGAAAATAAATAAATATTGATTGTATACTGGAGGTCTTGGCGTTTAATTTGGAGTTAATGTCTTATAATAAGTAGTACAAAGTCTGAGAGTCTACCGGTCGCAGTCTTCTGAATCACGAAACTATACCTATAGTTGCCGATATTATGCCAAGTGTGGCTTATTTCTTTAATTGGATATCATTACGTACCTAGGACTAGCTATTTGCCTCTAATTTGTCAAGTTTCCTTGCATATTTGACTAGATTTGAATCGAGTCTTTTACTTTTTGATTTTGCAGCGGTGCCGAATTAATGGGCGGTTCTGAATCAATGCGCGGTGCTGAATTAGTTTTTAAAATGAGAGTTATAAAGTACTTACCTATAATTAAATTTTTGTGAAGGCATTACAAGGCATTTTTTAGTTTTGGGTCTCGAGAGTACCTACCTAGCTCCCGACTGATTTCGGGTAGGTCGTAACTCTTTCTTGGTAATGTTTATTCGATTTCTATTTTGAAGAACACAGTGACACCCTCTTGAGACCGTAGTATTGACTTACATTCAGTCAAAAACCGGCCAAGAGCGTATCGGGCTACGCTCAATGTAGGGTTCCGTTTGGGTTCCGTAGCTTCCCGTCTGTCACAATAAGTATTTGAAAGAATATATAGCCAAATAATAAAATATAAGAACAGATTTAAAAAAATGCTTGCATATTCCGTATTTTTTTTGTACAATATTTCAAAAAACTGGTCGAATTTATTTCAAAATTATTTTCCTAGAAAGAATGTATGAAGTTCTATATTCGAAATTTTTTCAATATTTTATAACCTTACTGGCGACCCGTCCCGGCTTCGCACGGGTGCAATTGGGTGCAATGCTGATACTAAATTTCTCCACTATTTAATGAAAAGTGGAAATAATTTAATTATACGGCATTTCGTTCACTACAAAATAAATTTAATTAATTTTATAGTGTCAACAACAGTGTTAATATGTAGCTTACATGACACGTTCGTAGATTTACCATAGCCGCACCATCTATTGATGACTTACTCAACCCAGTCGAAAGGTATCGACATCTGTTAGAATTATTTGGAGTTAACATATAATAAAATTATGACTGTCAAATATTAACAGACAAATAAGTAGCAATAGTTAGCAATAAATTAAAATTGCGACTATAATTTGAGATTTAAACTATCCTATCTCTCAAGTTGGATTATCGAACTGCACATGGTGTGCGAATTTTATTATAATCGGTTAAGTGGTTTAGGAGTCCATTGAGGTCAAACATTGTGACACGAGATTTATAAGTATATATTAAGATAAGATGGTTTAAAAGTTAGAGGGGTGGAGACTCCTTTTTTAACTTTTGGAGCGATTATTTCAGAAAATACTAACATAATCCAAAAATGATCTCAGTAACGTATTCATTTTTGAATACAATATATCACACGTTAGAGTTGAAGTAAAAAAAATGTAGGTAGGTAATATGGAGAGTGATATTTTTTCACCACTTTTTATTTTACCACTTTGTCGGCATGGTTGATATACATAATTTATAGTTAGCTTTCTAGTGCTAATGGTCACTGAGATTGTTCGCAGACATTTCGACGAAAAAGACTACATTTGTGTAAAGAAAATTGTTCATGTAGGAAATTATTGTACAGCTTCCCAGTAAGCACGATAGACGGTGTTGGACAATTTCAGCAGTTTTCTGAATGGCGGGACGGTGATTGTATAAGGTTTTGAGATCTTTTATTTAATTTGTGGGACAAATTTAAAAAGAGGTACAAATCTTAGCTCCCTGTCTGAGGGGCCTTAGGTCTCCTCTTACAGAAGTAGTAAACAAGCGAAGCGTGCTGAACTACGAAGAGTCCTAACAAAATAAATAAAGTTGAGATTACCTAAACAGGCCAATCTAACCTGAGCTATCACCTTGTAGCGACATCTAGCGCCCTACATAAACAACAGCACCAATCACGTGCAAGTGCCTACATCACGCTATAAGAGTTTTCCACACAATTAGCACCCATACAGATATCCCGACAACAACCGTCGGGCAGTAGCCCACCAGGCACGAACACCTCGCCTGGTCGGAGGATCCTCCCTTTTCAATGGAGGATGAGGAACTTTCCACCCTGTTCCTCATACCTCTAAACTGGTGACCCCGAGCATGAACATCAACGCAGCCTTCGTGCAACTACGTCATAGCCATGACGTCATCACTTCCTCGAGCTTTCAAGCAGCGAGTCTACAGTCAGCCAGCTTCCATGGCTACAACGGGTTTCCTGACCACCAGCATGCAGCCGACGCGCATTCCTGGTCAGCACCTACAGCCTCATCAGCAACTTCGGCACAGCATACTGCACCGGCCGGTCAGCAAGCAGAGACGTACTCCCTCTCCTGGTCGACGCAGCAGCTAGCCACCCTTCAGCACTGCACCACCCGACTCACTGGGGCATCTTCGCAGACAGATTCGACGCACTGAAACCATCAACTGGCTCGACAAACATCTCACAGACGTCTCAACCAGCTAACGACCTCCGGTCTCGGAGGGGAGTGATGTAGCGACATCTAGCGCCCTACATAAACAACAGCACCAATCACGTGCAAGTGCCTTCATCACGCTATAAGAGTTTTCCACACAATTAGCACCCATACAGATATCCCGACAACAACCGTCGGGCAGTAGCCCACCAGGCACGAACACCTCGCCTGGTCGGAGGATCCTCCCTTTTCAATGGAGGATGAGGAACTTTCCACCCTGTTCCTCACACTCCTAAAACCTCAATACACGGTAGTTTAATTAATTTCGGCTCATATTGGACTCCAGATGAACTTAAACCAAACTAAGGTCATGTTCAATGAACATGCTCACACATCAATGGGTCTGCTCTCGTAGTTGGATGCGTAGCTAAAGATCGAGCGAGCGAGCTGAATGGGGTGCAATTGGAACGGAGGGACGTCTGTTCAGCAGTAGACAAGAACTGACTGATTATGATGATCAAACTAATGAAACTCTGTAGGTACTTGTTATCCATAGAAAAGCACAAAATACCATTGCGTCAACCTTTCATCCATATAAAGTTTCAGCACATATATTTTTTTTTATGTAATACGTCGCCCATGGACACCCGCAACGGAGGAGTTACGAGTGCGTTGTCGACCTTTAAGGGATTAGGGATTTGGAGATTTAGGAACTGGGGAGGGATTGGGAAGGGGAAGGATTGGGCCTCCGGTAACCTCACTCACACGGCGAAACACAACACTGTGGTTGTTTCACGCCGGTTTTCTGTGAGGCCGTGGTATCACTCCGGTCGAGCCGACCCATTCGTGCCGAAGCATGGCTCTCCCACACTTAAACACTGCAACACAAACAATGAAACAATTTCTCAATTAACTGATAAAATAAATACACATGATTACTAAGAAGTGAGCGTTTTGTTATTATTCAATAGGTAACAGATTAACTGATGCGTTGATAATAATTACAAGATGCGACATAGAGGCTGGCGTCTTTGGTTTTGATTGATATTCAAACATCTAGCACCAAGAGCTCTGCATCGAGGGCAGAGCTTCTCAGAAGTTTCTGGAGACGGTGGTGAAGGTGGTGACGGTGGTGGTGCGGTCTGCGCGTTGTCGATCTGGGCGGTCGGTGGCGGCTTCGGTCGCACTAACTCGATGAACTCAAAAAGCGTTAGCAGCAACATGTAGAGCAAGGTTAGCCAGGCAGTGTGCAGGAGCAAGTTCCGCGTGAACTCCGGGTCTGGCACAGTGACGACGCGTGTGCGGGCCATGCGGTCAGCGTAAGGGACGTGCGTTGCGCGTCCGCATGTAGCGCCGGCCCCAGTACAGCAACGAGTGCACGAACAAAATGCACGAGTACAGGATGAGCATGCGGAACACGGCGCAGATGGCCACAGTTCCCGGATCCAACTCCGACGAAAGGGCACGCCCCATGACCGACGTCCGCGACGTGAGTCGCGGACTCTCCGCTAATTCAGAAATTTATTAAAACATTGTAACAAGGTAAACGTTCCGGCTTGTCAGGCGTTGACAGTATCATATCCCCCTACAGTTATACGCTTTGGTAGGACAGACCTAAGCAAAGAGTATAGAAGGCACAACGTTACTAAAAAGTTCTATGCCTATTTAGTTTTGTTTCATGGATGTAGGCAATGACGATATAACGAGTGTTTTCTCTTTGGATGTAGGTCATGTAGGTAAGAACAAGGGTAGGTGGATTTTCGAGTGCATCTATTGAACCGAATAAGGAATCGAAATATTGTTTGGCCTAGAATAGGAAGCAAATGAGGTGAGGAATCATAAGGTGGTAAGTGATCAGTGCAATATATGCCATAATAGACACCCGCAACATTCGAGAACTCACTTCGCGATGCCGACAGACTAAGAGGAGTAGGTACGCTCGTTTCATGAAGGTTTAAAGCAGAGGTTCCCAAACTTTTTTTTCTCATAGACCACTTTAAACATTTTGCTGGATCTGGTGGACCCCCTGCAGCTATTACATTTACTAACTTACTTCCAAAACCCGAAAAAGTATATGTCTATGTCAATCTGTATTGTGACTATTTTTCAATCAACTCTGAGTTTTCGAAAAAAAAGGTGAGAATTTATATTGCTTTGATTATGCTGTGAGTTCAAGGTCAGTCTAAAAAGCGTCTTCATCCAACAGATTCCTACTTTACTTTTTTGTATTCTAAGATTGACTCACAGTATAAGAAACCAATA